AAAAAAACCTAATGTTACCAAAAGGGGGAGACTTCAGTGAACAAAAATGAGAAAAAAAGTCATATTTTTTTATGAATTGCGAGTTTCCTGTTCTTGCTCAAAAAATAAAGGAAAAGTTTTTCTTGCAGAATCTTTCTTGTGGTTTTCCCATTTCTGCCAGTCTATTGAAATTTTAAACACTTAGTCATGGTCACATGTTAAAATGTTTAGTAACTGAGTTTTTTTGGGCTGGATAGGAAGATATTTGGCTCTCACTCGTGATGCACCAATGTCGCTGCACTTAGTCTGTACATCATGAACTTGAACCAAATGTTTTCCTGTCCAGCCCTCCCACTTAGCCAATACGTACATATTATTTTTCGTACCAAGCAGGGGCATGGTAGAAGGGGGCTGGGGGGGGATACTATACTAAGACCCACTAAGCTGTGACTTAACATGAAATGCCATCAAATATGACTCAAGAACTTTATGGAAAAAGCAAAATGTAAATATCAAACAATAGCAGTTTAACAGTTGTTAGACTTACTTTTTGAGTATCTCTAATAATTCAGAAACACTGCTCGTTGCATTTACCATTATGATGGGTCTAGAAAACATCTGAGTCAAGTCAAGCTACAGTAGAAACAGAGAGTTAGGGATGCTTTACATCATCTTTGTCACTTTGTTGACATAAATTTTGCATAAGTGGAGGGAGTCTTGTAGGCTACCTTTCTGTTTCATTTTTTGCATTCTAAAATCGTTTTAACCAAGCTTAATAAGTGTCACTGACACAAATATTGATAGTGCATCTCCTGATTGTCTATCTTTCCCTTTAGAACTGTAAACCATCCCCTAATATGAAAACCAGGTATCATACCCAGTGAAATCAGCTGCAGTAAATTTCTGAGTCTTTTACTAATCGAAGAGAAAAACCCAAGTTGCAGTAAAAATAGATATTCAACTTCCTGTGACATTTGTTTCTTCCATGATACAGACATGGTTTCATGCCACTCTGGTTTAAAGATTTAATGAATGTAACAGAGAAGTTACAATTCATAGACCCCCTGTCTAGTGCCTTTATCAGAGGCGATCTAATCACTACAACAAGAGGTCCTTTGATATACTCAGTAATGAGACCTTTGATTCAAGAAGTGACCAAATGCATTTTGGGTTACATGAGGACACATACCTTTCTAAACACTCTGTGATTCAAAGTTATGATGATTATTGCTGAGGCACCCAGTAACATAGCTTTCTTCACCTTAAACAAATCAAAGTTGAGTTGAAGGCCAGAGTTATCATCATCATTTATAAGATCAAAATTATATTTGCCATACAATCAAGCTAAACCCAAACCTATGTCTTTCAAAAGCAACCACAACTCATTTTGAAAACTAATTTATAAATTTACTTTAATCCTGTAACTTAATCATAGAGGTACAAATTACTTGATGGTAACGTTGTGATGTTATCCTAAGTTATGCTCAATGTACCGTTAACCATTGACAGGACACTAGGCTATGTCATTATATTGTACATCTTATTGTAGGTTCCGGGCCACATTAATTTAATAGTTTAATGTTGCTCGGTACTTAAAACTCAGATTTCCAAAGAACTTTGCAAGGAAATGTATCATGATATGCCTTTTGCAACTCTAAACTAAAAATTATGGGGGTCGTGAAATTTGTTATGGTATAACTTCAACTTTTAACTAAAATGGAGGGAGTTTCTAAAGGCCTAAAAAGCAGCTATGGAAATTTTTTCTTTTATAGCCCCATAGCATTTCTGTGGAAAAATGGAAAAGCACAGTAGCATCTTTCATTCAAAGAATTAGGGCTGCAAATGAATGAAACTGTTTTGGGCCACTTTTATCACCCTTAGAAACATAAACAAGGAATAATAATGATGATGATGAAAATGATAATAAATAGTAATATCATATAAGTGAGGCTGATAAGAGAATGACTAGTGTCTCCTAGCTTTTTTTGAAAAAAGAAAAAACCAAAAACAAAAACAAAAAAATACTGGAAGCTTGGATTTGGCCAGAATGTTAACAGTACCCTTTCTAAGACAGGACAAAACTTGGATCCACGAGCATTGTAATATTCCAAGACAGGAATGTGAATAACACCAATCCAGCTCTGTGTTTCATCTGCTTGAAGGCTTTGAGATTCATCAATTTGATCTTGGTCAGAATCATCTGGATCACAAGCATCAATCTAGACAAAGTCAGTGGAAATTTTTCAAGATAAATATGCATTTAATATTTTTCCCAAATCATTACTAATTCATTAATGCTGTCTTTATCTATTTAAAAAATAGCTTCCATGTTACTATGCATCTGTTAAGAAATAGATCACACATGATGTCAAGAAGTGGCACAAAAGGCACAGTAATCTCTTGCTACAGTTGAATCTCTATTATCTGGACTCCTTGGGACTAGATGAAATAGTCTGTATAATCAAGGGTTCAGATAATCAAGAATATAAATATTGGTGAGGAACAAAAACTGACAAAATTAGTCATAAATTTGCAGACCGAGCCAATAGTGGGTGAAAGTTCACTTAGCAGCGAAGCAACTCTAAGCCAATCAGGCCTCACTCGAATGTTCTTCATTGGTTATGATGTGTGCAAGGGCTGCTTTTACTTTTTGAAAGCAAAACAAACTCACCTTTACTTCACTTTTCAATGCTGTAGTTTTAAAAAGAATCTGGTTGTGGATCTTGATCATGACTAATAAATATTTATGACAAAATTGGGACAAGAGGAAAAGTCTGGATAATCGAAAAATCCCTCGATAATCGAGGGAATAAATTTTGTTGAATTTCTGATTTCATCAGGATGGTTACCTGGACAACAGAAAAAACCTTAAAAATTGAATCAGCTTTCAAAAAGTACACTCATTTAAAAGGAGGAAAAAATTCAAGATATTTGCCACAATCAATTGGTTGTCCATGGTTTCTTAATTTTCCCTTTGAAATTTGAATTTTGTTACTGACAACTTCGTTGAAATCTATAATATCAGTGACGATAAGTGAAAGATTATTGTTGCTCACCCATTACACACCTTGTTACTGAATTTTATGGATTTCCCAAATGAAAGTCTTTACATTTTATCGACTTGATCGATGCTGGTCCCGCAATGACAAAGTAAATAACACCAACTAGCTGTGCAATTTTATATAGATATATTAGTTATTAAAAACTTCATTGATCTGACCTTCCCTTGGGATTAAATCATGCCGGCGAGCTTGGAAATCTATTTAAACACTACCAAGAGCTATCGCTTTGAGTTAACTTACTTCATTTAACTCTCCTTCGACCTGTTTTATCGCTCCAATTCTGGCAAACTTGCCGACAACATTTGCGACCGAGCTATTTAGCCCGTCTTCACTTTGGCTCATTACATCGATAAATGCCTCGTCAACTTCACCTAAAACCAGTCCTGTGAAGCAAAGAACGTGTAGAAAACAATGCAGGAATTTGGATAATGAAACTTGCAGTGAAAACATTGCAAACTCGGTAATTATGTAAGTCAAATCTCAATCCATTTCATTCGCCATATTCTAGATGTTTTTGTTTATCTCCGAGCAGGCTCAGTATGAATGTTTTTCAGCGGTTTTTCATTGGCTGGAATGGTTTGTGGAATATAAAAACTGGACGCAGATGTGAACGCGGGTCTTGGATTGGACTAAATGTGGAGAGAGAAATAGCGTTGTTTTCTTCTAGAAATGACTTACAGCTTAGTTGGGCGAGCAGCATTTTTTTGAAAGCCTAATTGATAAGAGTGAGCGACAGAACATCAATACTAATTGATGTACGTAAATACGTTTTGTACGTAAATACGTTTTGTACGTAAAAACGTTTTGCTCGCAACTACGTTTTGTGTTAAAATTGGAATCAGTGCCTCGACCTCACTGGAAAATTTGACATGTTAATCCACTTTTAAGATAGAAGAGCAAATTTGAAACCAACGGAATTCTTTAGTTTTTCTCTTAAAGTTCAACTTCTTCCATAGCTGTCTCTAATGTCTGCCTATATCTAATTTTTGTTAAGACTGATGTAATAAGCACTCGCTGGTGAACCAATGCACTTGGCACTTGCACCTTTTGCAACTTTATTTTTATGTTCATATGTATTTAGTGACTGTCAAAAGTTTCTTTTCTGAAAAATGACGGACAAACCATTTTGTGACAAGAACAAAGGTCAACAAAGGTGATAACTGAATTATCAACCTTCCTAAGGCCCCTCCCTACCTAAAAAATGAGTCCCTGGTGACTCATTTGCACTCGCAGACAAAAAAGATAAAACCATTTAAATCTAATTTTCAGTATATACTTACATTGCACCTCCAAAATTGGCAAAATTGCCTTGTGCACAATATTTGATATGATTTAATCTAGAAATGCCTTCCCCTTTTATAATTGTTTGTTCCCACATTTATCATTCACAACAAAAATTGGTTTTCTATAGTCTCACTGAAATTCTAATAAGAGAACATTTCGAAATACATTTGATAATAAATATTAGAAGAATAACACTACGACGTTTCGAAGTCATGTTGACCCCATTATCAACTAGGGGTGTTAGTTGTAGTTTCGAGATTAAAAACAAACAAAGGTGATAGAGTACATTAGAATAATAAGTGTTTCATTGTCATTGGTGTTTGACATGTCAGTGCGTGCAGTATATGTTTAAATAAATACTTTTGCACATATTGAGTCTGACTGTGTGTTTAACTTCGGTTTCTGTTCACAAATAAATAGCATTTCCTGAATTAGACAGTCCAGTTTTCCTCGGCATTTCTTAAGAATGGAGAACATTTCGGCTAGGTCATTGAACGCTACACCATGGACTTCCTTCTGAAATTTCATAGTTTTATTCTTCTAATACTCACTGAAATTTAACCCACGACTAATCGTACATTCATTAACTTTGTGGCTGGTCTTTCAGAAGTTCAGTTGGATTTTTACCATAATTTCAATTTCTTCTTTTGCTACTGTTCTTGTTATCAGCAAAGTTTAATCCTCAAATTTTACTTGAAAACTCTCCCTGAGTGCATAAATTTACTTATTTGGTGGCTAGGATGGTGAAACAAACAACAATTTAATGTATACTTGGAAAAAAATCCGAGTCCCAGATGGGATTTGAACCCATGACGCTCCATGATCTAGACTAGATTAAGGTGTGGGTTGTGGGTTCAAATCCCATCTGGGACTCGGATTTTTTTCCGAGTATACATTAAATTGTTGTTTGTTTAGTCTATATATGCTCACTTTGGAGGTTGGTTGGCTAGGATGGCCCAGTTAAAATGTTCCAATAAAAAATGAACAGCAAGTAGGTGAGATCTCAATACAAAATAACAAGGTTCCACAATCGATCCCCACTCTCAAGTGAAAGAATATATGTTTTTCATAAGAGAGAATCTATCAAGTTGAAAACTCAGGGCTTACACTGGAAAGAGCAACACAGTAGTATTGCTTAATGTGCTCAAAGGTACCCATGAGAAACCTTTTTTGATTACAGTTATTTTTCCAGGATTTTTTTCCATTTGATAATATGAGTCCAGTATTTCTGTGGAATTAAGAGTAGGTAATTTAGGTCTGTGCCTTAACCCTTTAACTTCCAAGATCTGATTGTTAATTCTCCCCTCTGGCTGCTACATATTTGCTTGTAAGTTAGTTATGAGAATTTGATGTTAGATCAAGAGAAAAGCTTCTGGCTGATAAGTTTGAGTACTTCATCACCTGTTTGCTGGATAATGTGTGGATTTTATAAGGAGAAATTACTGTTCACTACTTTTGGAAGTTGAAGAGTTAGGGACTCTCAAAGCCAGAGTCAGCCACTGTTATATTGCCAGATGGACTGCTTGATGGACTGCGTGCATTTTGAAATTTCTTCAGCAGTTCCATGTTGAACAAAGAATAGTTTTCCTCTTGTGCACCATCACTTTCTTTCCTTCTTGCCTTGGACAGTTGATAGGGAGAATCATCCGAAGAACTGACAAGGGTAAAGGACATTGACTTAGAGGTGAATTAAGGTTTCATTAAATAATATGGGATGGTTATTTAAATTATATTAATTTCATGATTTTGATGGTGATCTTCAGTGAGTTACTGAATCCTTACAAGTAAAGTGCAGTTGTCTCGCTTTGCAACATGATTATAACTTGGATTAAATGTCAGTACTTGTTTCCACTTGTGAAATGTCTGCAGTTTTGTGTACAGTTCTTGCCCAACTCACCTTCTAGTAGCTTTCAAGCTATTTCTGGCAGCCGCAATGTCCTTCTGCTCAATCACTGAAGTTTTCATTGACTGTATGCTTGCATTGTTGCTGTAGAAATAAATTGAAATATAAACTGCAAGTTATGATAAGTTAGCCAACAAACTCATGTACAACTTCTCACAATTCTAGAATGCACAATCAAGGGCAATTAAAAAGGAACTGACATGACGACAATCAAGTTCATTTTATTTTGCGACAAATAAACAGTAGTCACCTTTAAACTTTGTAGAGGCACAGTAGTCTCATGGTTAGTGCGCTCGACTCCAGATCGAGTGGCCCAGGTTCGAGCCCTGGCTTGGGACATTGTGTTGTGTTCTTGGGCAAGACACTTAGTTTGTTCTCACAGTGCCTCTCTTCACCCAGGTGTATTAAATGGGTACTGGCAAATTTAATGCTGGGGGGGGTAACCCTGCGATGGACTAGCATCCCATCCAGGGGAGGTAGAATTACTCCTAGCTGCTTCATGTTACAGAAACCAGAGTTAAGCGCCGGCCAGATGGGCCACATGGCTTGTAAGTAGGCTTTACCTTACCTACCTTTATACTTAACTCAGTCAGGAATTTACCCTTAACACACACAAAAAAGCTTCTCCTCAAGGAATATCTTTTGAATTAAAACAACTGTCAATAAAACATCAATTTTGAAACACCAAGAACCCAAACAGTTAAAGAAACTGCCAAATGTAAACAGCTTTAATCTCCCACAAATTTTGTGTAAAGATGCATTTTTTATCATTTTCACCAATGGTTTATATCCTCTTTTAACTTTTTGACCTCTAAGAGTGACCAGCATCTAATTTCTCCTTACAATATCACCCACAAATCACCCATTAATGTCATGAGAGTAAAGGAAATGATCACCAACTTAACAAGCTCTTGATTGTTAAACAAATTCTCCTTGTCCTCACCCAAAGAAATGTATATAGAACAGTATGGAGAATATGCAAACTGATGTTAGGGTGTAAAGGGTTAAATACTTGAAATCCCTCAATGAAATGGGAATTTGTTGGTGGCTTAGGGCTGTAGTCTAGCAGTGCCTGGTGGCCCCTGGTGCCTTACTTTCACTCATGGGCGACTTCAGGATTTTAGTTGTTTCACACAAAAACATATGCTGGGCACCTGTATTTCAAAGTTTCAGAGCAACAAGCTCCCTTCACTTTTTCTTAGAGCACAGCCTTAGTGGCCATACATGCATGTGGCTTAATTTTGTGAGACACTTTGTTTAAAGTGTACATCATAATCCCTAAGTCTGTCAAGATTAGATCAGCAGGATGGACACTTGTGATCTTTAATAACTAAACTCTAAAATTATTTTAAATTAGCACACCAAGTGATAATTGCACTAAGGCATGCTAGTTAAAATCTATACTTGGATTATTGCATCCCAAATGTATAACATATTTCATATACATTTTAGAAGTAGACATCTATATTTATACAGGATAGCCCCTTCAGTGTAGTAAACACTGGTATCAAACGGGGTCCTGTTAACCACCCATCCCACCCCGGGGAAGGACATCCATCACACAGTAATCTCGTGCCTGGGAAATTAACATCTCCTGCCCTAACCCTGCAGGAGACGGGACCTCCATTTATTTGTCCCTATCCGAGAAGACTAGAATATCTAACCATTTCTTGATGTTATAGAAAGGTAGCATATTCTTCTCAATTATTTTAAGACCTTGAGTGTTGGTCCAGCCGAGGCTCGAACCCTGGACCTCCCACACAACAGTCCTGCGCTCTATCCATTGAGCTGACCGGGAGGCGGTTAAATATTAGACCTAATAGTTATTTGTCAAATAACTAGTAGGTTAAATATTAAACCTACTAGTTATTTGTCAAATTTTTACTTCTTAAATTCCCTTACCTTATAGATGTGTTTAATATAATATACAGTATTTCATAAAAAAAAAGTACTGAATTAAATTTGTACTTGCAAAAAAAAAAAAAATTGTTAAGTGGAGAGAATATAGTGCAGGTTGGAAGCACAATGCACATACTTGACATTATTCTCTTTGTATTCTGATGATGCAGGCTTGGTTTGCTCAGAGGTTTTGTCATGAAGTTTCCTCCTTGGTGAGACATCCCTTATTGCCTGCAAGAGTCTTCTTTCATGACTAAATGTTCCCGAGGGTGTTCCAGGAAAATATGACTTTTTAACTCTATGAAGAGATTATCAGGTGAAAGAGAAATTTATAAACTTGAGTCTGGTATTAAAATGCATCACTCTACTTGATTATTTTCATGGCCTGTGTATTCACAACCTTACTTAAGGTCTTTCATTTTCATTTTTTCATTTCGTTTTCATTTTTTCATTTTGCATTGTTAAATATCCTATCCATTACCCCTCATAAATAAACTGCATTTTGGGTCCTTTGTCCTTTGTACTGTCACTGTAACTTTCTCAAATTATGAAAAATAAGTCAAATTGATTTCATAGTATTTAACATGGAAGTGACTAACATATAACTTCTTGTACTATCAACATGGCACAATTCTGTAACAGATGACAAGAATGGGTAAACTTGGCAGTAGAAAGGAGTTATTTTGATGCAAAATCAAATTCTCATAACAAATCGTCAAGAGAATATTGGGCCGGCAGAAGGGAGATATTCTAATCAGATCTACCGGTAGTTACTTTTTAAATTACCTGCCAGGGGTGTTTAGGATGACTGGAGAAATCAACTCCTGTGAAGTTGCAGACTAAAATTAAAACAAAAACATTATTTGATCATTAGTCTCACTGGTTCTCTAAAAAATAGGAGAACCCAGAGTTTATCTGTACCAATAAGAAATAGAATGAATAAAATGTCCATCTGGAAAGTCACAGAAATCTACAAGTTACAGTCTCAATTTCAAGGCTTGGGAAGTCATGGAAGCTCATAATGCACCAGCAAAGAAAAAAATGCATTCATTAGATGATTATTTCCACATTATTTTGGGAACAACATTGTGACTGTAGGTCATGGAAAACACCATAAGCATTTCGAAAAGTAACAGAATTTTTTGGTTTTGAAAGAGGACAAGAGTTGGAGGATTCTTGATTATATCTTTAATGGCTGAGGAAAGTAAAGTGTAAAATGTTTTTGCCTTACCATATTAATGACAGGAAGTGGTGGTGGGGGAGGGGGTGGGGGGGCACTTGGTATTGGTCTTCTGGGAGTGCTTGAGGCCAAAGGATCTTGAAGTTTTCTTTTTTCTGCCAGCCTTCTGGAGAACCTGACACCTGTCTTCTTGCCATCTTTACAAAGGTTAAAGAAATACGGATCATGATTTTTACGTTTCTAGAGGAAATTATTTCCAAGAGCTTCACATGAAATTGTAATATCAATTATAATATAATTGTAATATAATTTTTTTAATCTATAGATTAATCAATCATTATCCTAAGTACCATATTGGATCCTATATTTTTTTAACATCCTTTGACTCGGAAAAAGGCATAGCTACTTGGCACCATCATTCAGATTATAACATATATATCATTCATATTTGCTGTATCTATTAAGCTTACTGCCCTCCTTCTTTAAACAAACTATCTATTGCTTATATTCAATCAATCACTGAAAAATGTATTCACATACTCGCACTCACTATTAATTCATTTAACCAGTCATTAAATCAAAGACCCTTTACTTAACATAAACGTTGAAGAGAAAAAATTGGTTCGATTAATGGACCATTTTATTATCATATTTAATTGACATTTTTGATTCCATAAGAAGTATTACTTATCGACTTTAAAGAGCAATGATTGACGAACCTTGTGCATAGTCATAAGCGGAAGCCATTTCCCGCTTTAAATTTTCGAGGTCTTCTTGACACTGTTCAGCGGGAAAGTATTTCTCGAAGTACCCATCTTGTAGTTTGTTCATCATCTTTACTTTCATGAACTGCAGCAACTTTAGATTGTCTGCTTTCTTTCGTCGCACGATCTTGTAATATTCGTCCGGGTTTGAGTCAAGATGGTTCATCAATTCATGCAAAGCAGCCTGCGTAGTGTTTGCTGAGTGCTGATCATATTCTTCAAGTGGAATTTGTTGGCAAAATCCTACTGGTAAAGGAGATGGCTGATCGAATTCCTCTAGAATCTCGGCCATCGAAAAAAAAAAAAGAACAAATTGTAAACTATCAACGAATTTTCGTTCCGCGTGTTTTGATTTCGAAAAATTGCGCTTTTAACCTCGCTCCCATGTAAGTCCAACACGCAATGTTGTCTTGGCACGAACCAATCAAAACTCAGATAGCTATGTTCAGACGGTACTGTATGTATGCGGATAACTTCGGAGCTTATATTGATTCATGTACAAGAAATAGGATATATGACCGTTAGGGAAGGAAATCTGAAGATGGCGAATGCTGCCGGTCGCGAACTCCAATTTAAGGTATCCATTTGAAATCGTATTTTTAACGCTTTACAAAAGTGTGGTGGGAATTAATCGCGAAAGGTATGGGTTTGTTCTTTCTGACAGTTTTTCTCGTGATGACTGGCGCTCATACATATTAATTAGCTCGTAGAATAATTCCTTTGCCCGCGCTGGCGGGGATTTTCACGTTTCAAAAAAAGGACTCAGGATTAAAGTTTCAGGCTTTGAGATTAAAGAGTGACTGGACAATACCTAATCGACATAATAACCAGCGTGTTTGTTAAGTTGAAGTTCAAGAATTTTGAATAGCAGAGGAACCTTTCTAGGGCGGACACCAATTTTGTTTAGCTTGCTGTTCTGTGGTGGTGCAATGATCGCTTCGAATTATCCGTGTATCAAATTGCCACTACATATTCAAATGAGCGGTTCATTGGATCGAGACATTCCACGTAATTAAGTTATAAGTGTCTATAAAACGTAAGAAATGACCTGTGAGCCTGTTCGTAGTAATTTGTTCCGTTGTTCGAGGGAATTGGGATATATTAAGTATCTTACATATGTATTTTGCCAAACTTTAAGAGATACACTCGTAGTTTAAGACGGTTAGATCTAGAGGAGTGACACTGGAGTATTAGGCTTGAGGTCTGGAAGTAGGGTATTTAATATTAGAGGGAACAGAGTTTTCTTATTCTTTCAAGTTAATTCTCTTAAATAATCAGCAAAAATCAGTCAGATGACTGAGCTTTCAGCTTTGGAGGAAAAAGCTCAAGTACTACTCTACATCTCCACAAGTGTAGCTAGAGGATAAAACATGACACTTCGAAATTAAAGTTCTTGTAACTGAAACTTTTGATAAGTCATGAATATTTTATTAATTTAATTGTTTGGTTAGATATATATTTTTTTACTGATATGTTAGAATTTGTTGTCATAGACCACACCATTAGAAGATGACTACACAATTGACTGGAGCAAGAGGCTTGGTTCAGGAATCAGTGGGCCAGTTAGGTGTGTGCGGTAAATGGTTTGAACCCGGGGGTAACATGTGAAGGTGTAGTCTGATCGTCCGGGTGAGTGTAGTCCTGAGAAGCACTGTTTAACCAACGTTAAAGACAAAGACGAACCGAGGAACAGACAGGGAACAATTTATAAGATCAATTGTTCCGACTGCCAAGCCTCCTACATCGGTGAGACTGGCAGAAACCTCACAACAAGACTGACTGAACACAGACGGGCGACGAGGAAAGGTGATGTCAGCAATCACATTGCTGAACACCATCGACTTACCAACCACAACATTGACTGGGACTCTGCGCAATGCCTAACCTACAGCACTGACTATTTTCAACGACTGACTCTGGAAAGCTGGTTTACTAACTTAGAACAGACTCCCCTAAACAGATGTCAACAACTACCCGCCCCATACAAACGACTCATTCACGACATAAACATCACAAACGACGGAAAAAGAACAACCTAACTTTACCGACAGACCGAAACAGACCAATCACGACCGACTTACGTCACTTGAGTCTTACAGCCAATAACATCACGGCAAAACCAACCGATCATTTCACACGAACTGGAATAAGAACATTCTACTGACAACAATCATTTACTTGACTCTGATGATGACTTCCGCACAGGTTGTCGAAACGTCAGTCACTGCTACCAACAACAGTCCTTCTCAGGACTACACTCACCCGGACGATCAGACTACACCTTCACAGTTAGGTGTGTGTTGGGTAAAATATTCTAGAATAACAAAGAATAGACAAAGAAGTCCACCCAGGTAAAGTTAAACCTGGTTTCAGTAGCATTTGGGAATTTAGTTGCATCACTACTCATTTTGGAAGGGATACCTTTCAATTTGAGATTACACCCCCTAGTATTTAATCAGGTTTCCCAAAAAGGAACCCTTCTATGCTCCTGGGTAAAAAGAGGCTCTGTTGAAATTAAGTGTTTGCCAAAAAAATAATGTTCAACATAGAGACCCAACAGGGTCTTAGAAATGGATATTTCAATCAATGGATAAGTCTAGTGCACTGGACATGAGACTTCCACTTCTTTTGTGGGACAACAAATGAAGCACTTGAATTTATGTAGGAGTTCTTTATATGGTTGGTACTTTTTTCAATTTTATTTAAACCACCCCCTTGTTCTGTTTGAATTGATCCTTGTTCAAGGCCAGATTAGAATTCTGATTTGTGTTTTAAATGAAGGCAGTTATTTGTTATAGTTCCTCTTTCTATGGTGTAACAAGACCATGTTAGACTTGATAAAATGGTAAATTAAGATACAGATGTTTTTGTGTTCCTTCAGGTTGTGCACACAGAACAAAACTGGAAAACAGTTTGCATTAAAATGTCTGATGGATTCTAAAAAATCAAGAACAGAGGTAATTTCAACTTTTTACTTCTGCTTTAGGCACATCAAGTATTCAAAACTGGTTTTGAAAAATTGACAACTGATTACTCTTTCAAGCTAGGGAATGGGTAAAAATGTTGCAGGGTTAGCTTTTGGCAAAATTAAAAAATACACGAGAAAACCGATATTGCATGAATCGCAAAGTGATGAGTGCGATAACAGTTTTCAATTGGAATATGAAGGTGGGATTCATGAGTCAGGTATTGGATTTTCCTTGAATTGCATAATTGAATAACTTTTATGTGGTTGTGGTGTTACAATTTGACGATAGTTGTCATGTATATATGTAGATATGAAACATTATAACAGCCTTGTTTTCAACTCACAATTACATGCTAAATACCTTGCTCCGTTAACCAATCAGAATGCGAGATTTATTCAATTATAAGATTCTAATAATTAGTATTGTCTCTCACTAGGCCAAGGTGCACTACTTGTGCAGTGGTCACGCCCATGTTGTAGCAGTAATAGATGTTTATGCAGTCAGCTTTAAATTTCCAGGAGAAATGAGACCTGTGTAAGTATGCAAGATTGGTGATCTTCTGGAATAATTTGTAATTTGAATTCCTGGGCCCGGTTGTTCAAAGCTGGGTTAAGATAACCCAGGATTAGCGTGAAATTTGATTTCAGATCTGAAAGCTTTAAGAGAAAGTTCAGTTTAATTATTTTGTGTCAACAATTTGATGATTGGATGCTCTAAAAAGAATGGGGAAAATCATTTCAGAAAGGTTCTTGAATAGAGAAAAAAGGAAACCTGATTCAAAATTTAACCCTGGGTTAGTGCTAATCGGCCTTCGAACAAGTGGACCCTGTTTTATAGTTCTGTGGTGAAGCATCAAAACTAATTATTAGGAGGTCTTGACTGCATATGAATTTTCTTTTTGGTCGTATGCTAGTGTCAATGAGTAAAAAGTATCATCTGAAACATACCATCTTTATTTTGGTGTAAATCCTAGTAGTCAGGGCTCGACACTAACGGTAGCCCACCAGCCACTGACAAGTAGAAATTTGGTTTTGGCTAGTGGTTTTCGGTTTCTACCAGACAGTTTGGCTAGTAAACGAACTGACATTGTTGTAGCATCTAAGATGTCATCAGCCACTTGGCTAGTAAGTTGAAAAGTTAGTGTTGAACCCTGGTAGTACGTAGTATGTTTGTCATTTGAATCTTGTTCAGTGACCCAGTGTCCATAAGTCCCAATTCACTTTGCTCAAGGGATTGTTGTAAGTTGTAGTATTGCATGAATTTCCTGAATTGAATTGAATGAATTTCTTCTTCTTGACATATGCCATGTTAAAGCCACTAGCTTTTGGCACCTCTCAATATAAAATAATAAAAAAAACTGGACGCTTATCATGTGTCGTGACTTAAAAACACTATGAGTTGCAACTGTCTTTGCAAGAAACAAGTATTCTTGTCATTGACAAATATAAGATCCTTTTTCTAATTTTGTATTACACTTCTATACTGCTTGAGTGTTAGGGTCTGCTATCTCCAGTTGTCGGTATAATTCAAAGCTATTTTATCAAAAGGAAATGATGGTAACAAGCTCTTGTCTTATTACAGATGGCAAGATTAAAGTCTCTGTTCTATTTTACTGTGTAAATTTACTCTGTTGTTCTTAGTCCTAGGATTTTAATGGTTATGGAGTTGATGGAGGGAGGTGAACTGTTTGAGCTTGTCAGAACAAAGAGACGTTTCACTGAAAAAGAGGCTGTTAATTTTACGAAACAAGTGAGGCTATGTTGATTTGCTTTATTTTATCTTCATTTCAGCTGCTACTAAAGCAATTAAATTCCTGATCATGGTTTCATGTTACCTTTGTTTGACATTTATTTTGTATTGTGGAAGAGATGTTCAATCAAATTTGAACAAAACATGTTATTATAAGAGGGGTTGTAAAATTGAGTAGTGTTGTGAATTTGCATTTTTTTCTTACCCTTATTTAGATTGCATTAGCAGTTTACCATTGCCATTCATTCAATGTAGCTCATAGAGATCTAAAACCGGAGAACTTACTTCTTTTGGACAAGACTGAGGTAATTCTTAACAATTTACTCTGAAAGGAAAGTTGGTCTAAGAGCTCTTGTTGTAGAAAACACTTTTATTGGTCTAAGGAAGTAATCAGTCAGCTACACATGATTTTACTTAAAGGGAGCACTCACTTGTGATAATTTTTCAGCAAAAGTTTTCCTGCCTCCTGTAACATAAATATAAATTGAGAGCATGTTCTACTGCTTCTGGCCCAAAACCTGGTGTACTGGAGTGATGAAATCAATAGCTGAAAGCCATAAAAATAAGGGACTGTCAAAGATAATTTTTCAGCTGATGCTCAAAGTAGCCACTTAATATCAAGTGTACATTTCCATGTATACTACTTTCTTGCCATGTGAGGTGATAAATTTGATGTTTCTCAAACTTAACATTTTATGTTTTCTGTTGTTCTTGAACCAGAAAGTGGTAATCAAGCTTGCTGATTTTGGTTTTGCCAAGATTGACCGTGGAGATCTTGTTACCCCACAGTTTACTCCCTATTATGTTTCTCCTCAGGTATTGCACTAATACTAAATTTTCCTTTTTTTGTCGAAAAAATTTTTACTGTTTTAAACACAATCATAGAAAAACAGTTGAATGTACATGACTGTACAGTTGTAGCATGTCAACAACAATAAGAGGGTTGCTCATAATTCATTTTCTTTCAATGCCGTTGAGTGTCTTTTGCCAAACCATTATATTGTAAGATAACACTAACCAAAAGAAATTTTTAAGTTTTGAAGAGATAAATAACACAGTAATTGCTCACAATACATATAAATTGTTTTTTTTTTGTTTTTTTTATGAGTCAAGCATTGTGTCACTTTAAATGTTCACCAAAAAACCTTGAAGTGGTTGTGATTTTTACTTTCTGTGAAATTTGTTCATGTTGTGAAACAGTGAATGAAGTTGGAAGGCAAATGAGTTTTACATCAAATAATCGTTTTCTAGGTTCTGGAAGCACAACGAATCCACCGTGCTCAGAAGTCAGGGAGATTTCCTTTTTTGTCAAAACCTTACACATATGACAAGGTAATGTATGCTGCGCAATCCTGACTGGAAATGCTCCTCGACAGACATATCAACGAACCTAAAAGACATTAAATAATGATTGCCACCTTTTTGCTCTGCTAATAGTTACAGTCACCATGGTGTTGATCATGATTTAAATTATCTTGCTTTAGTTGACAGCTGAACTAAAACCAGTAAGTGGAAAATGGCTTTGGAAACATTAAATGTTTTTCTAATACATTTACCTTATCAGCTTGTTTCTAGAACCAGTTAATTTTGGTTTTATGAACTTAGTTGATAAGGTAAATTGGCTACCATTGAGAATGGATAGTCTTGACGGTGGCCAATTTCCTTTATCAACTCAGTTGATAACACCAAAATTACCTTCTTTTAGTAAAAAGCTGAGGAGATATATGTATCAGAAAAACACCTATGTATGCTCCCCCACCGACGCAGTACCACACTTTCGTTAGAAACACCCACTTTATTCATTTGTTCCTAAGCTATTTGTTTTTCTACTCCCTCGTGCATTCTCCCCCCTACCCCTCCCCCTATGCCCATCTATCTCCTCTACTAAGTCAGCTTCGTGCCGTTGTGTGTCTCCAGAGCTGTGACATGTGGTCATTAGGTGTTGTTATCTACATCATGCTCTGTGGATATCCACCGTTTTATTCAGAGGTACCTCGTAAGCAATTGTCTCAGGGAATGAGGCGTAGGATCATGGCTGGGGAATATGATTACCCTGAAAAGGAGTGGTCAAAGATTTCATCGGATGCAAAGGATGTCATCGCCAGGTAAATACTAGGAATTCCGTGCTTTTAGATTTAATCGTTCTTATTGAGTTATTGTGAGGGCCGAACAGAAAAAGAGTATTTAGCTCGAGGCCGTGACGTACGAGCCGAGTGCAGCAAGGTCCGTGCGTCACGAACGAGAGCCAAATATTTTCCTTTCCGGCCCAACAAACTCGGTCAGTAACTATGTTATCATATGATTGTTAAGTCCGACATTATGCTTGAACCCAACTAGGATGTTATTACATACGTAAGAAGGGCGCACGCTGGTAAACTACAAAAAATTTGAACTTTTCTACTTTTAATTAGTTAGAAAAAGAAAGCCGAAGTTCATAGAGAAACGCAACTTGCTTTTTATGCAGTTAACATTCGCGTTCTCGGAAAAGCGAAGCCGTGTGAGTGTAGGGCCGACCGGTTTTTTCGGACCGGCTCACGCTAACCCGTCCAGCCTTACACACGTCAGCTTTCATTATGGTTTTCTACAGGAGTACGTGAGCGGGCCTGAACGGGTCTTATGATATTCAAGATTACTTTCTATTCCAGTCAGTCATATTTCCTTTTTGTATTCTACAGCCTATTGCGAGTTGAACCTGCTCAAAGACTGACAGTCACAGACCTGCTTGAGCACCAGTGGCTTAACGAAGGCACTGTTTCTGATATTCCACTCGATACACCTTCAATTATCGTTGCAGATGAGGTTTGTTACCTTTAAAGAGTTTGAAACTGTCATTAATCACCCATCGTGGCCCACAAGATCCAAGAGATCTGATTGGTCCATTCGCGTTAACTAATGAGTCATATGATGTGCTCGAGATTTCTATCACGTGATACTGTGTTGGGAGGGCCTGGTAAAGCCAACTCCACCTAGGAGTACTCTGGGATACAGGTGGACCGCGAAGAAAACATGACAATATGTCGACGGTGGGGAAGGGAGTGGGGGTCTCCTACGATGGACTATTGTACCATCTAGGGAGGAGTAGCAATGATTTTGCTCACTTCATGCAACGTCAACCGCGGACAAAGCTCTGGCGGTGTGTGCCTCTGGGTCTTTTAGTTATCCTTACCTGTTATGATTTTTCAGGAAGCATTCCAAGAGGCGATGAATGCGCATTCGGCACAGCTTACAAAGATGAGGTTACCTGAGCGCTCAGTGGTACTGAAGGCTGTGACGAAGGCCAAGAACCCAATTCTGATGAAGAGAAAGAACATGTTTAATCTCAGGTGAGAGTTATTCAGCGCCCATTGATGCTCGTCAGTGAACGTTGTATCTCATGCCTGCGAAACATTTGCGAATAATTTAGATAAATGATAATTTTTTACTGAGAAGAACGTTTATACATATGATGCACGATCCTCGCAGTAGATAGCGCTATTATATATATATTATATATTTCATTGTATAAGAACGTTTATGTTTGTAAATGTTCCCAGCAATGTTTTGCGCCGCTGCATTGTGTCTTTGGTCAAGAAAACCCGTGCCATTCCCTCAATCAATCAAATGCAAAACTTAAAACCAATCGAGACTTGTTTCTTCCCGCTTTCCCGCGCTTGAGGCCGTTCCCATGCGTTTCATTTCAGTTCTCATTGGCTCCTTGCGATGTTAACCTTTGCTCTGATTCGCTGTGGTGGTAACCTTTCTTCCGCCTAGCTATGGCGGTTAGTTTGGTTGCGATTTTACGACACTCGTCGCAAAGCCCCACTAATAATTGAATTAAATCCAATTCTTTGTCGTATTTCAGTTCGTTCTTCACCAAAAACAACGGGGCATCGGCATCGTCCACAGATGTTGATCGAACAAAAAGCGATGCTTCCATCAAGTCTTTGAGAGACATAATAGCATTTTGTATGCTTTCTCCTCAGCCACTCGATGGAGTTACAGGTTGGTAAAGAAAATCTTATCTGAAATGAACAAACGGCTTCCGTCCACTTCTCTTCTTCTCCCATGTGGGAGAGGGGGTGGAGATTTGTGTCGCGGCCTGCAGCAAAACAATTCAGGTGTTTCATCTTAAAACTGTATGTAGACACCACAGAATATTTTTCACCGATTTTGTTTTACTCTCGCGACGGACTTCGCGTAGAAAGAAGGATTAACACCTTAACCCTTTATTCGTGTTTTTCTCATTGCCATGTTCCCACCAATCACGTAGCTCCATTTTCTGCCTTTAAAAGCACACACAACCCACAATTCCTCTATCCGCTCCGACGAAGGGCTAACGCTCGAAACGTCAGCTTTTATAATCGTAACGGTGGCCAATTTACTATTTCAACTTTGTTGATATATTTAAATTATTACCTTAGCCCTTTAGCTCACAAGATCTAATTGTTAATTCTCCCCTCGAACTGTGGCAGGTTTCCTTGTAGTTAGTTAAGAGAAGTTGGTGTCAGATCAAGATAACAACTTTTACCTGATAAGTCTGAGTATTCTCAATACCTGTTTGCTGGATAGTTTATGGATATTATAGGGAGAAGTTACATGTTAATCACTTCTTGGAGTTTAAGTTTTGATAGATAGCTCACGTGTGCATAGAGGTGTACGCTGAGTTGGAATGTACTCTTCTCTGGCATATATACTTTGAGTCTGTAGAACTCATAGAGGTTGAAAAAAGGGCCTCTCAACTAGATCTGCGTTTGGATGTTGTTGCTGTCGCGATATAGATCTTTGTTAGCTCAATGGATAGAGCGCTGGACTGTTGTGCGGGTTCAAGCCCCGGCCGGACCAACACTCAAGATCTTAAAATAATTGAGAAGAATATGCTACCTTTCTATACCAACAATAAATGGTTGGATATTCTAGTCTTCTCGGATAGGGACGAATAAATGGAGGTCCCGTCTCCTACAGGGTTAGGGGTAGAAGATGTTAATTTCCCACACACGAGATTACTGTGTGATGGATGTTCTCCCCAGGGGTGGGATGGATGGGATTTAGTGGGTGGACTACTCGCATGGTTCGCATATGTTCCGTTCTAGTCCTACCCTACTGCGGTAATGGAGTGAAAATGGTTAGAAAATAGAAAATAAGAACCTGGTGTTGTATTCATGTTTTGGCGGGAAAAACCAAATAAACAGGCAGTGCAGTCAATGGGGAAAAGCCCAGTAAACATGTACAGGTTCGATCGTCGTATGTGTTGAGACTGCTAAATTACCTTGGTGAATTACAAACGATAATGTGTGACTTTTATTTACGTACACTACGAAGTCCTGCATATGCGTCAAATCTTAAAGCTTTCCTCTGACTTGTAGTTTTATTGGTACACAGAAACTTCCGAAGGTCCAAGTCCCGAAGAAGAACTTCCAAGACTCGTCTCTCTTGCTCTAGAGCAGAATACGAACTCCCAGCGACTCAAACAAGCTCTTGTCAAGCAGTCTTGGGATGGTACTGTGACTTCTTTTCATGTGCAGACTGTTTATGGCGATATCAGTTGTAAGGGTTGTTTTCTTTGTTTTCTTACTTTTCACAGGAGAGAAGTTCGCTGGAGCAGTCGACAAGCGCACGTTAGCCAAAGACATCAGTGACATCGTAAAGAAAATGTGACATGTCGGAGGAACTGCTCTGAAAGAATGTAACCTCAAGCACTCAGGTACTAGTGTATTCTTAGTGCAGGCGTGGAGGGATTTTCCGTTATGGACCATCGTCAAGCTTGATCTGGACTATTTACACGCAAAGATGGTGTTTACGACTGCAAAGAAAAGATTATTCAGTCATAACTAGAAGAAAAGCTTAGGACGCTTTTGGCATGAACAAGTGAATCAATATAGAAAAGGCCTCCGGAGGGGCGCGGAAATTCTTGCGGAAAATCAAGATCCGTTTCGTTTTGGCCAGTGCACGTGTTTGGCTGAGATGTAAATGGCTTAGGTGGTCAGGCCAGCGGTACAAAGACACCACTAATGAAATCCATATATGGCCTTAAGAATTTACGACCAGCGTGTCTGTTAGACAACCGTAAGATTTATAATGGTAATTGAACTGAGCGGAGTGCAATTTGGGCTGAAATCATACGCGTGATTTCAAAATTGAACGAGCGCGCAGCGCGAGTTTGATTTGAAATCACAAGTATGATTTCAGACCAAAATTGCGCGACACGATGTTCGTATTACCAATTTATTACATCCATTTTGAAATCGCCCAAATACAGTACTTGGTCAATTATAATTTTATTTACGTATATTTGCACGATCCTTCGCAGTAAAGCACTATTTGAGCAATAGTGAAAATCAGACCTGAAAAAAATTTCAGGCCTGTACGGGATTCGAACCNTCAATAACTCATTCAAGCGTAAAATGATGCGATTTAGAGCAAAAAATGGTGCGATTCGTGAATAAATCGCACCAATTAGAGCCAATCATATTACAGGGACCACCAGTGATTTCAAAATGGATGTAATAAGAAGTATTCTGTTTTGTTATGATGTGTTCTACAAGGAAATTCTCTTTAACTCTTTCACTGCCAAGATCTCAGTAGTAATTCTTCTTACTGTCTGTCATACAATTCTTATGATGAAAGTTTAGAGAATTTGGTATTGGATCAACTATTAAGTCCCCATAGTGATACTTTACTTTATTCTTATCACTTGTCTACATGATACAGTATTGATATTGTTAGGAGAAAGTCTACCTTGATTACTCGTGCGAGTAGACTCTCATGTTTGGGTTTCCCATGGTGGACCCTCCACAGGAGTGAAGTACAAACTGGCAGGAAGGTCCGGCGTTTATCTTTGAACTAAAAATTTTTACTGGTCAGGAAAGATAGGCAAATTACAGATGTGCCCAATGAACAAGTACCATAAACACTGTCTGAACAACATACTACCTGATTCTCAGAAAACTGGAAGTTACAATTCTAAGCTTCTAGTAACAAGGTAATTTTGGTTTTATCAACTGAGTTGGTAAAGTAAACTAGCCACTATCAAGAGTCCCAAAGCTGATGTTGCGAGCTTTAGCTTTTCGTCGTTCGCTCTGATGAAGGACCAACGTTCGAAACGTCAGCTTTGAAACTCTTGACGGTGGTTAATTTACACAATCCACTCAGCTGATAAAACCAAAATGCTCAGAACTAGTCAGATGAGACATGTGCAGTCATCAGTTTAGAGTCGGAAATGAATAGTGATAGGATAAGCTTCTTCAATTAATTTCCTTGTGATTCTTTGTGATCACTTAGATGGTTTGGTCCGAAGAAATGAACTCCCAAGCTTTGACTTACACCGCATGCGTGGGATCAGATGTTAGCTCTTCAGAGGTAGTGAGGTAGGCAGACATTGCTGATAGCTAGATTCCGAGGTGTGAGTAAAGCTAGACGGGGAAAGCCAGGGAGATGTCGCACGCAACGCTCTCGCAATGAAAAAAAGTCACTCCCATCAAAATTTTATTCGTAGACCTCTAGAATCACCATACTTTTCTTAGCCGTTCTTGGTGTCTTTTATACAGTGACATCATTTTTACAGCATCAATGCCAGCTTCTTCCAGTTGATTCCTATCGTATCTTCATATATTGATACGGATTATTTTTCTCAAACAAATAATTACGTGTATACCTTTGATGTATAGTTACATTAGTTTTATCTTTCAACACATTTTGAAAAGGAAGTACAGTCATGATGATAAAGCAATAATATATTTTTAACGGAGTTGAATTTTAAAACAGGCTCTCCTGTCGTTCTAGAAGTCACAGTTCTTTAACCCTTTGATTCCTGAGAATGGTTGGCCTCCGTCCAATTTCTCCCTACAGTTTTTCCCTTGAATCAGATGTATAGGTCATGAGAAGAAAGGAAATGATCACCAATTTAAGAAGCTCCAGTTTGTCAAACAAATACTCTTTGTCAGTACGGTAAAGAATTTATTGGCTGAATCCTTCTGTGCTACAAGGCTCAATGTTCCCTAAGGCTCTAAATCTCGAAACTCGCTGTTCTCTTTATAAAATGCTGTCCGTATTCAACACTACCGTCAAGGTTCTGGTCTGTAAAACTCTCAACCTTTAAGCCCGAGATTGGGATAAAAAATTCGCAATTTTTTTTTTATTTTATCACATTGATGGCATTACTCCCACATGATAAAGATCTCGAGACATGTTGAAGAGCTCTTTCAGAATGTAATCCAAGTATTCGAAAAACCAATAGATTTATATCGCGCCTAAAACATTAATTACAGGAGTTTTCCGAACCTCCCTGACAACCGAGGAAACAGAGGAGACAGAAAAACAACGGCAGTCGTACCGCACAGTTATTTAATCTAATTGATGGTCAATGAATGACCTAGTCCTCTGATAATGTAAAATTTCTTTTGACAGCTCCACCTCTTAATAATATTAAGAATCCAGAATTTGTTATGAGTTTATTCTATCGATGTCGTAGTGTGGGTAAACCCTCTTGTGATAAATTGAACTCTCACGTCGTTTTTAGCTCTCCTGTGAAATGCACGCAGCCCTCGAAAATAGTCTACAGTATATCTCGATATATTTCCAAGGATGATGCTGGCCACAGTTTTCAGGGTGCGCCTTTGCGGTCTAGTTGATACAAGCATTCAAGTTCATTCGACAATTTTTTGAAATCTATCGAGTCTGTATCGTATTTCGAGTCGTTTTGCGGGGAATGTGATCCGACACCGGGAGATATGATGACCCTTTCCTTAAGTGAGGAAGCTGCTTAAATTTACAAGCAGTTCATAGATCAAGCAATCCAGACCACACAGGATGTACCTCTATATCCCCTCTAAGTACCGTGCATCATTGGCTAATCGTCAAATTATGACCAAGAAAAACTGACCACCACCCATCGATGGGTGAACCAGTGATAGTGATCTAAAACGTCTGTGGGAAGAACTCTCAGTTTTCTGAGTGGCTTTCATATAGCATGTTACCCGTTTGGGCTCCAAAGATTAGTCATTGACAGAAGGCATCGTGAAGCTAGCGGTCAAACCATCCTTAATTATCTGAAATGTAACACCACGCGTTTTCAAATATAGAGCATGAACGTGGTAGTTGTGGTTTTATATCATTCGCTCTCCGCTTGTGGGAGTTATTCACTTTAGAGACCCTTAAGTCGCTCAGTTATCTTTGAATTTATAAGGGAGATACTGGAATGAGGTTAAAAGCGACATCGGGCAACACTTTAGAACCCTGTGAATCGTCCTAATTCCGTCAAATCCCGAAATTACTAAAACCTCGATCGATTTTCAAAGGGTGTATCGTCTCAGGCCTTGGGGTCAACGATTACTTTCGAAGCTTTCCGCGGTGGTTAGGCATATTTTGTTAACAACGGAATCCAAACGGTACCTTTTCCGCAGTTTACGCATGCATGCCTAAGAAGGTTTTGGTGGTCAGACATACTTTGTTTAACAAAGGAAGCGAAAAAGTACTTATTCCGCAATTTAAGAATTTATACTGTTGAGGGTTTCAGTGATCAGGCATAATTTGTTTAACAACGGAAGTCAAACAGTACTTATTCCGCAATTTGCGCATTCACTGACTATTAAGAAATAATTAGACGAAACCACAACCTGTAGAATTGATTACTCACAAACCAGCGAACACAAAGAACGAGAAAGAAACGAAGAAGTTCTAGTCCCCTCCGCCTTCTCCCCACCCCACCCCCACACCCAATATCCATTATTTTTGGAGGACAAAACTGTATCCCATCGTATTGTTTGCTGGTTCAAAACAATTTATGCAAAGTAAAATGTTTTCTGGACCCCCCCTGACCTCCTGAACAATTATTTGTGTCTTATTATCTGCACATTCAGCGGATTCCTCTGTCAACTATAAACTAACGTACTTGTTCTGTAAACAACCCCCCATAGTTAAAACAATTCATCGGCTTCTAGTCGGGTTATCGAAAATAAGCGAGTTTTTGTTTGTGTATGCTCTCTTGGTAATTGCATTTAGGGGTTATTGTGTTTTTGACAAACTGAGATGTTTGCTAGCGTGTTTGCATGTTTTTGTTGAGACTACTCAATTTGACACCCCGTAGCTAACACGCCACTTCTGTCATCAATATTGTAAGGGTTTTATCAAACACCACTGAATCCTACGGCTTAATATGTTTGTGAAATATTTAATAAACTAGTTGCATGAGGTTTATCACGCATTTTATTTCACATCAGTCCGAGGTAAAGCTTCTTACTTCAGGTTTGCTATGCATACCATAGTAGTTTATCGTTGTTGTTCAGTGAAGAATGAAGCAAAGTGATCGCATGATCACATTAGTTTTTTCCCATTCTTCCTATCTTCATTTGTATCTAGTCGGGTATGTGTCTGGATCTTTGTTCGGAAGACGAGTCGTCTACGATTCATTAAAGAACCCTGGAATGAAACTATTAACTCGGAGTGCGTGATTGATTATTTTCAGTGTGCTTGCATGCGTGACCTCTCCATGACCTAAAACGATTATTCTATCAACAATAAGCATTTGATATTTATTTAACACTAAGCTTATTCACCATCTACAGCGTCGTAAATTCAACTAAAGCTGTGTTGATCCGAGAATCTACAGATGTACTTCGAGATTTTTTTAGTTATTATCACAACAATCGTCACATAATAAAATAGAGCATCAAATGAAAACACATTTCATTTCATTCTCGTTCACATTGTTTATATTGTACGCTGGGGAACATGTGAGTGTGATACTTTCGCTATTATCCCAGCGTCTCAACATTTATTCTGTTGCAAAAGAGATCCGAGAGAATGGAAGCGTTAAACATACAAAAATATCGCAGCAAGCGCATCTTCAAGGTTGACACTTGTGGTGTCAATTGCTTCCTTTGCCCTTCTGACGTCCAAGTCTAAAAATATGGCAAATATCACTCATGTACCTTTTAAGACTGATGTTGTTGGCAACGACACAAAAAGATCAGTCTGATGCGTATTATTTTAGTTGCTGACGACCTCCATGTCCTCTTCGTCAACTGTATCAGAATTCGAGCTTCCAACGGAGTTTGGTACACGTTTACGAATTCTCCCATTCAGTGTTTCGTTGCCTAAGTCCTTAGCCTTGTGGCTGTTCTTGTGGCGTCCTCGATGCTGCTTGTGTTGTACTAGAGACTCCAACTGATCTGTTAAAACTGCTAACTTGTTGAAGGTAACGTGGTCGTGCTCCAGCGATAACATTTCGCGCTCGAGATGGAGGCTTTCGCGCAGCATCGTTGCTTCCTCTTTTAGCGCGTAAATTTCGCGTTGAGATTCGCGCTCCCGCCTCTGAAAGAGAGTTTCTAAAGTGATCTTCTCCGCCAGTAGCTTGTCGTATCTGTATGCCCATTCTTTAGCACCGTTGGTCTCATTGAGTGACTCGTCCTCTTGGTTGGAAGGCCTTCGTAATTGAAGTTTCCTCTCCAGCTTTGCCACTTGGTCCATCAGCGCCGTAATCTGCTCCTTGTAAAACGTTTCCTTGTTGTTGAATATCTCATCCCGGCGTGATCTTTCCAACAACAACTCTTTGATTTCGGTGGACATTTGAGCGATTTTACAATCTTGCAATGCAAGCTGCTCTCTGTAAGTATTTTCCATCTCGCCTGTTTCTTTCGCTTCGTCCTCTTTGTCGCTAAGCTTCCTCTCAGCGCTCTCAAGTTTCTGCCTCAAATCTCTGATGCAATCGTGCGTCGGGATATCGGTTAAATCCAGATCATATCCACATCCCCCCGGACACAGTAGTGTTTTCTTTTCGTATCGCCTTATATCTTTCAAAGACAGTTTTCTACCGCATTGCTCTACATTGGCATCTGTGGATTGCGGAGGGCTAATACCTGTTAGCTCTTCTGGTTCATCCATGTCTGCGTCTGCTTCTAATTTAGCACACGCCGTGTTTTTTTGGCTGACTATGAGCTGTGGAACCGCTTCCCGTACCAAATCCGCTTTTCGAAAATAATCAAGAATGTTTAAAATAAACCAAAACCGTTAGGCTACGATCTATCCAGAATATTTGGTCACGACTAGTTGACCTCGAACAAGGAGATATAAATTAACGTTAAGTCGTCCATAGTATCTGTTCAACTGAGTGTAGCTATTTCTTTCTAAAGAGGGCAATAATTCCGATTCTATCCCTTTGGGCAGACCAAATTGCGACCTTGCTACTCCTCAAAATGACTCCAGTCGCCTGCTTTACAGTAAACGTAACAACACGTTTAATGTAATCGATTATTTTCGCTTTCTTTTTCGAAAGCCTGCTTTTGTGTCGTCTACCACCAATTGATATAGTGCGTCGATCCCGCCCTCGCACTTCACGCTGTCTCGTTTTCAAGTTGATGACGAATTTTTAGAAGGGTCTTTGTTCTCGTAGCCTAGTAAAACGGCTTTGCCATGGAGACAGTTTTTTTTTTCGGACGTGAAACGAGATGCGTTGCCTTTAACGATCCAAAGGACGTGCTGTCCAACCGTGCAAACAAAGAGCGGTCTCGCTTGGAAATTTAAGACAAGGTGCTCTTACCCATGACCATAAGGGAAGGATAATTTTACTTGTCTTGCTGTTGTTTTGACGGAATTGATTGAGGGTCAACGGTTGATAGCTCATGTAATACAAAGGAATGTTAACATATTGAGTTAGGTAGCCGAAAAATGTCATTTACTCGCCGCCATTTTTGGATCTAGATAGAGTTACAAAGAAGATCCTCGACACAAAAACAGTCG